AATTATAGCATGCAGACTCAAGTTCTTCTGGAACTCTGCTAATGTTCAGGAATGAATTGTGATGATTATCAATTTATATGTTGGGTTTTCTGAATGCACATTTGTTTGATTCATTTTTTTTGAAGATTTTCTAATTCTTCGCAATACCTGGCACATAATAGGCTCTTAATAATACATGCAAAATCGATAATTAAAACACTTACTATTAATAAAAGCCAGTGAATACTGATATTGCTTGACCATATAAGCTTAAAGATAAACATAGTTTGGAGGGAAAAGAGCCTCTGGTGCATTGAATCATAATTCAGGGTCAACAGAGGAGGGAGGGCTAGAAATTCCAGCACTATCAGAGTATAATCACTGGTATCAAAGGCGTTATCTCAATGAAGAACAACCAGGTTAAGGAAAATGGATACAACTATGAACAGTTAGATGAGTATGTCTTCTCCTGATGGAAGAACAGCAGGGGGTTGGTAGCATCCTGACAGCCTAGCCTCCTGTCTTCTATTCCTTGTGTCTCCAGACAAGGACTTGACCTCATATTAGTAAATTTCAACAAATATATGTGAACAAAGGAATGAATTAATCACTGCCTCCTTGATTCAATTCTCACAGAATACAGAACAGAACTGCAGAAGCTGTTGAAAGGCAGGATTCTACAGTCCAATTAGAAGCTAGAATAAACTATCAGGACTAGGACTAATTAGCCAAAGGGTCAGGGACTTCTCAGGCCAAGAGGAACAAGGTGTCTGTCAGTGTCCTTGTCTTGGAATTCTTAAAGAAAAGATAAATGCCCTTGGCTAGATTATGACCAACGCATGGAGCGTTCTCTGCAGGAACAATGAATTTATTAGCACTTAGGGCCTTTAAGCAAGCATGGGCAAATCATAATCCTGGGAACAGCAGGTAAATTCTCAAACTCCTATTCGCTTTCCCCAGAGTCCAATGTTCGAAATGCAGCAAGGGAGTAAATGTGGGCAAGGCTGAAACCAATTTTGAGAAATAAAAACAATGTTTATATCTTAATGTTTTAAAAAACTTCCTTGCAAGGCTTTTATACTATATTACTTCATTTGGTTAATCTGTTATAGGATTATGGTTTTTTTTTATAAATATGTAATGGCTAATGTTCTGCCATTCAGCTGACATCCGCTCTGGATATAAAATGCAAATGTCTTAGCTTGGCATAAAAGCTCTGTGTGGTATGTTATCAAATTGACTACTTTTTCAGAATCATCTCGAATCCTTTTCATATGCAATTAATTCTCCAGCCGTGCTAAATTTATCTTTCAGATCTTGGTGAATTTGTATATGCCATTTTCTCTGTCTGTGAATTTGTTCCAAACCTGAAAACCCCTATTTATTTACAGGATCTAATTCCAGCATTTCCCCCCCATCACCAAATCTCTGAGAAGAGTTAATAAATTATTTCCCTCTGTATAGCTGAATATTTCTTATAAATCACACATCCCATTGTTTTATAACCATTTACTTACATTTTGACCTCATGCACTAGACTGTGAGCTCCCAGATGTCAGGATTCAAGTCTTCATTTTGCCTACCTCACCCTAGTTCAATACATGGTCATTGGCTGGGCAAAAAAATACGTTCATATACACTTCTAAAGGTATTCTCAAAATACTATTCCACTAAAAACTGCTCCAAGTAATTAACATTTAAAAAAACAACTTGTGAGTACATTGTTGAAGATTATGCCATGAACCTGGTCTCTGAATGTTTTGTCTACATTTAATTTTGATGGACATTTGCTCTGGCATGTGGGGACCTACAAAGAATGAAATCTCTAATACCTGTAATTATGTGTATGTAGTCTGCCATGAGAAATGACTTTTCTCATGTAAAATCTGAGGCGAAAATGCCATGTTTTTGGTGATTTCATTAACATTTTAAGATGTTAACAGTTCTGTCAGCCCAAACTGAAAATGACTGTGTAAGAAATGAAAACTTGCATAACTCTGACATTCAATATCCATGGCTCATTGTCCTCCCGACTTTCATTATGCCGTGAAGAAGTGGGATCAGCCTTACAAAATTTAAGAACAATTAAGAAAATTACTCTATGCAGATATGACTTATGGACTGAGAATAACTAACTTTCTAAAAGACTGTATTAAACAAAATAAATAAAGATGATGGAAAATCCACAGATGTTTTATGGCTTAAGGCAGCTTTTCAGTTACTCATTATAAAGGCTCCTTGCTGGCTTTTGCTCATTTCCCTTGACTCATTCCTGAACACTTTTCAAACTTTCTCTTTGCCTGTATCCTTCAGGAGTTTAAAAAGTCTTAGGCATACTTCCTGAAGTTCTTTGGGTTCGTTTCTCAAACGCATTCATCATGATGAAAATATTGTAACTGACCCATTGTAAATTACTGCTGGGCTTCAATCCTCACTATCTTCTTTTACAGCTTTCAGAGTTTGTGAAGTAAATAACTAATCTTACAACCTACCATAAGGAGAGAGAGAGTGAGAGAAAGAGAGAAAGAGTGCGTGCGCGAGAGAGAGAAAGAGAGAGAGGGCAATAGTGAGAGTGAGCAAGCGAGTGAGAGAAAGGAAACCAAACAGAAATCATCCAGCAAGTATCTCTGTAAATTTAAATAAGTACTTATTTAATTTAGACAATGTCTACCAACCACCCATTTTCTTCTATAGCAACAGATGATGTAGGATGTAAATATAATAGAAAGTTACTGCTCCTTCTTTCTATGTCAATTTCAATAAATATCTATTAAGAGCCTACTATATGCTAGGCATTGGACAAGGATGAATAACAACGTCTCCACTTAATAGAATTTTTATTCTAGCTCAGCAGTCTGACACACAGACACATAATGATAATAGAATGGACCAAGTACCATTGTATAATTTTACATACAAAATGCCATGGGATCCTTGTGGAAGGAAGAACATAATTTTAATATAAATTAAATCTTGAGGAGCCAGAAAGATCGGTTCGATCTTGGTAAATGAGACCCTAAGATATATATAACTTAAGTCAACAAATATTCCTTTCTATAGTTTCTTAGCATTTTTAGGATCCAAACAGAATCATTTTTCTTGCACTCTCCATTTTACATGAGACAGAAAGATGCTAAGCAATTCAACGTAGTTTTCGTAAGTGATTTTTCCTGGCTGCTGTTTATTACCATCTTTCTAAAACAATGACTTTTTGAAATTATAAATCAAAGCTTTGCTTGTATGTTTGTTGTAAAGGAGAATGTTTCTTGTCTTAGAAAATTCTGAACCTTAATTCTATGCTAGCATAAAGCTAGATTATATCTGGAGAGTGGCTGTAAAATAAAATATGTATGGATTTTAATCTTGTGGAAATTAAAATATAATATGAGAAACATTGAAAGTTCAGATGATGATAGAACATCTTTTTATTAATAGATTTGTAATAAATATATTTGAGTAATTTTATTTCATTAATATTCTTTAAGGAGTTTATCGGTTGTGCTCAGTCTTTCACTTTTCCCTTACATATGGCATTTGGCATATTGTCTTGTACATAGTAGGTGTTATATATATACATACATATATATGTGTATATGTATGTACATACATATTTAATTGTACATTTAATTATATATACACATACATATATATGTGTATATATATGTGATTATGTATGTGTGTGTGTATATATATATAATTAAATGTACAATTCTTTACACTTCTTGACCTTTTAACATGTCTTTTTTAATGGTAAGACACTATGAGCTTGCCTTGTAGTCCTCAACATAGTCAGATGCCACTGCTCCAGGGCAGCCTAAAAACAGGGCTTAGTCTACAAAGAAACCTTCATCTTTGAAGAAATAATAATCTTCTGACTTGACCTCTCTAATTGTAGGTGGTCTTTTTTTAAGAATAAAATCTAAGCCCTTATGAAATATCCTTTAAGGATATTGCCCTTTTACTGGGGATCACCAAAACCATTTCCATATGACGTATTAGTCTCTATTTTAAATGGACATTTTTATACTAGTTTCTGAATAATATTGAAGAACTGAAGCAGAAACTTATTTGATTTAAAAATAGACAAATAAAATTACAAATGTATAAACAAATAATATTATACAAATATATATGTATAATACTCTTATGGCACTCTTAGTTCTATTGATCTATCCTGTTTGTCTACTATCTATCTACCATCTGTTATCTCTATCTGTCTATCTATCTATCTATCTATCTATCTATCTATCTATCTATCTATCTATCTATCACCAAACACAGTGATTCTAAGGGTAGAAAGATCTACTGTTATATCCATTTTCCATAAATGAATGTGGAACACAGGGAATTAAGGCTCAGAGAAGTTTTGTAACTTGATGTAGTCACTCAAGTAGTAAGTAAGTGGCAGAGCCAAACCTCAAGGTCAGATGGTCTGATCTTGAGTTCAGGAGGCTGCCTTTACTACTCTATACTGCCTTAAGCATGGAGGCCACGGAGGAGAGAGAAAAGTCCATTTCTTCCTTGACTAATTTTTTTCTTTGTATAGATTTAGAGAAATTTGCTCAATTTTATTAATATGGAAAAGAGTGGGCAGGAAAAGAAACATTTATTTTGCATCGACTATAAGCTAAGCATGGTATTAGGTCCTTTTTATATATAAGTTCATGGTATATTTATTATCTTATACCAAGCTATTCATTATTATATTTTGCTAGTTAGAAAACTGAGCTTGGAGCTTTTAAATAACTTTCCAAGAACACAGTAGCTATTAAAAGAAGTTAAACCGAGGTTTAAAAGCAGGATTGAGCGCTTCCACTATACCATGTACTTACAAGTCTATAGATCAAATTACAGAGAGCAGATTGTGAAATACTAGCTTCTATAACCAGAAATCCTCTAAGAAATATTATTAAAGTTTAAAGCTACTCAAATCAAGATTTCTGAAAAGGGGACAGATAGGGGAGTTTTACTTCCTGTTACAGCCCTATGAATGGGGATATAACCCAGACCTTGCATCCTACCTTGATAAATATTGTCCTGAAGTGAGATTTGTAGTTTCCACCTCCATGCAGTTCATCGTGCTGGGAATGAGAGCAAGTTCTGGCTGGATCATGGTGGCCGTGGCTACAGCTCTTGCAACCAGCTCCATAGCATCTTGAACGTAGTACTCAAAGACAGACTGTGTTGTTTTTCCATGAGCAATGAGACCTAAGGGAAGACCCTCTGTCCTCAGTTCCTCCACATTCTGAGAATCTCCCAGCACCCAATGAAGTTCGGGAGGCATTACCCCAAACTGGGTTGTAATTTCGAAAATCCGCCGGATACTTTCCATGTCGCAGCCAAACATCACCACTGTGGGTGTACTGTTCTTGATACTCTCAAGCTGGATCTGTAGGAAGCTCAAGAGGTCCTCGGTGGAGGGGAGGTTAGCTGTGATGTTGATGATAGAACCAAGGTGGAACTTGGAATTATTCTGGGTAAGGAGGAGGAAGTCAGTGATGTTCCAGTCTTCCTGGCACAGCAACAAGCTAAAATTGTACCAGTTGTTCGTGGTCAGGATTGAGACAGTGACATCAGCATCAGAACTTAATGGATTTTCTAAACTCAGTTGTAGGTGAAGGGGATTCTGTATTTAAAGATATGAAAAAGAAGAATTAGAAAGCATTGGCCAAAGACTATAACATAGGGTACTTTTGCTTTCTTATGAGGCTTAATCCTTTCATTTCACTATGATATTCACATACCTCTGGGATAAAATTCCCATACTGTGGCAAACTATGCTTCCTGTCCAATGGAACTATTGATTTCTTACAACTGATTTCCTAAATATTTTTGCTAAGAGTACCAGAGGGCAGATGGTTCTTGGTCTTAATATCAGAGGTAACATAATCATACATTTGGTTGAGGATTTTTGTCAAGCTTGTCTACTTGCCTTATAGGCAGTCTCTTTTATGGCTTCCCATTTCTTAGTACTGCTATTAAGACCTCGTTGGTTAAACTTTCCTCTCATATGCAATGATGGGAAGAAATTACTTTTGTTTCCTTTTAAAATTAATGGTAGAGAAATCTTAGAACAGTGCAGGTATTTTAATAAGAATGATAATAAAGATGGATGCATCACAGTTTCCTAAACTTCTATCCCCTTGAGGAAGGCACTTCTGATAAGTACAGAATAATTAGCAATACATACATCAAGACTAAATGTATAGTGCAATGTTAAAGGCTTGATTACTTTTCTGTATCGTCTGAACCTGGATTCTTGCTGTGAAGAGTGAAATCTGTGCAATTAAACACACTTATATAATGTCTATCACAATTTTATCTACTTGTGGAATTTACAATCTTCATGGAAGAAGAGAATCTTTTTGAGAAGTCATAAATTGTTCATCATATAATAGAAGTGGAAATAGTCTTCCAATGAATATATTTGTTAATTTTTGTTCTCAAGAGCAAGCATCTGATATGTTTATCCTTGAATACTGACATCCTGACAATGTTTAGCACAATGCCTTATATACGTTAGGGGTACAATAAATATTGGCATAGTTGAACTAACTATATTTCTTTTGGGAACTATTAGATTGTTTTTAAGAGCTTACTAAACATTCAATAATATGCATTGAGAAATAAGGAAGACTTTCTCAGTAAAATTTCAAGCCCTTGTATGAAACAAAGAAGTATGGTCAGTCCCTACCTAAGGGAATGTGTTCTCTTTCAGGGTCGACAAGGGGGCGTAGGTTTAAGTGTAAGAACTTCCCAGCGCCATGCCCCACTCCCATGCCTCTCCATCAAGGAGATTTAATGGTCTCTGTTTTAATTTTTGTGCATATGGGAAAGGGCAAAAGTCAATCACTCTAGTGGAAGTTCTAAGGAACTCCTTTCATTGGCCAGGGGTCTTGGAGAAGGTGAGGGTTCCTCCCAGGTTAAAAGTCCCCTTCTTCCACACACCTTTGGACTCCATATTTGGATTCCCTTCCACACACTCTTCATAGAAGTTTTCTCTCTTCTCCTTTTTTTCTCTTTCTCTACCTAAACAAATCACTTTTCTGCAACACATTTTGGGTTCGCCATTTACGAGCATACTGCACACTTGCTGTGGTCCCTTCTCTCATTCTTGAGAGATCGGGAGACCAAGAACCTACAACATTCTCTCTGGGGAGCTGTGCCTCCCCAGCTCCCGCAAACCCGGTTACATACCTACCAAAAATGTGTAACAGGAAATGAAATTTATGCTGCACTTTAACTCTTTGAAGTATTTAAAGGAAATAGAATTTATGCTGCACTTCAACTCTTTGAAGGATTTAAAGGACTCTGATATGTGTAGAATAAAAAGTGAGGATTCCACAGAGGTTACATGAGGAAATCTGACCATAGGTACTCATGATAGTAGGTTGGAGAGAGTCTTAAAAATATATTCTGAAACTTTGTCTTTTGTCCTTCTAAATTAAGCTTTCGAGCAAGGCTTGAAATGATAGAAACAGAGTTTTGGAAAAATCGCCACTGGAAAGCATTTAATGGGGATGGGAAATTAAAAGCCCCCCAGGACCTTGATTGCATGCTAAGTGTTCCGCTGCTGTACATGGTAGGGAGGGTAATGAAAAATGGTCTTTTTAAAATTTAAAAGGATTGGCCAGACGCCGTGGCTTGTGTCTGTACTCCTAGCACTTTGGGAGGCTGAGGCGGGATCACTTGAGGTCAGGAGTTTAAGACTAGCCTGGCTGACATGGTGAAATGCTATCTCTACTAAAAATACAAAATTTAGCTGGAAATTCCTTGAACCTGGAGGCAGAGGTTGCAGTGAGCTGAAATTGCGCCACTGCACTCCAGCCTGGGCAACAGATTGAGACTCGGTCTCAAAAATAGAATAGAATAAAATAAAATGAAATGAAATGAACAAGGATTTAGTGATGAGATCAGATGTGAGAGGCAAAAGAGAGAAAGGTCTCAAAAACCAGGAGACAGGATCCAGTAGGTAGCTCCTGGTGTCCAGGCTTGAGCTGCCAGCAGGGTCTTGAGGTCAGAGAAATGGAATCTTCATTTCCCCACTCCTCCTTTTGATTTATGTAAATTGCTTCCATGTTTTTTTCTGCCCTCCTCTTTTAGCTTTCTTCCTTTCCTTCTTCCTTTTTATTTCCCCCTCTCTCTTAACTCTCTTCTAGAAGCAAAAAGCAATGGAAGACAAGCTCTACATTTAGCTGGCAAGAACAAATTATTCCCAACTGTTTTCTTGCCTTCAGCTCCCTAATCTGTTGCCAGTTTTCTTCCTAAAACACAAATATGACCATATCATTTTCCTGCACCATAACCTCAGAATCACCCATAGGACAGATTTAAAAATCAATAGTATGGCTTAAGAGGCAGGGATGAAATTGTTGCTTTCTTGCTAAATAGGAAGTTGAATTAGCTAATTATATTGAGCTTTTAGTATCAGACAGAGAGATAAATGCAACTGGCATGAGAGATGGAGAAAGACATGGGAGTGAAATGAAGACCCTCACAATGGATAATAATTCATATAATCACACTCACCCCTACAACTCTGCTGAAAAATTCCAGATGTTGAAGTTAATCCTGACACAGATTTGAGACATGTTTCTTCAAAAAAATTTTTTAAATGATAGTTTAGAAGCATCTAATAATGTATTATTTGTGTAGCAGTCTCAGATGCAGCGTTTTCCAATTTCTCCCCATATGAGGACAAAGGCACACACATGCATACATGGATGCATGTGTGCACACATACACGCATACACGCGTGTACACAAAGATTATGAAAACTTACAACACTAAAATTCAAGCCTGAGAGTAAAATTTTTGTCAAAAGCCAGGACAAAAATTAAACAAGATCTATTGCATCAAATTGAGAATGAAAATTCTCTTTCTTACATATGGTTTGTTGTTTGCAAAAGAGTAAACTCATGGCTTGAAAGAAGATATAAAGACTTTAAAAATAATTTCTAATTGTTTGTCTTCTAAATCAGAGATTCAGAAACAGAACAACTCAAGAAGCAAGAAGCCTGTATCTACCATGCAGATAGAGTGAAACTTTAAATTCAATTTATATGTATTAAAATAAACAGGTTCAGAAGAGGGAGGTAGGAGGGGGAAAATATGAATTTAAATAGTACTGATAATTCTCATTCCCTTAAATGAGTGTACTATTTATTATAGCATATCACTTACATTATCACATACTTAAATGTAGCTATACTATTATACAGAATGTACACAAAAAACTGTATATGTCAACCTAAATAGATAACTTAAAAAATTTTGAAATGTAATTTTTCTATACTTCGAACTGAATCTTCATTTCTAGTGGAGATGATACTCCACTGTACTCCACTGATTTTGGGATTTTGTTCCATCATAATCTGCTTAGACATTGTTTTGGAGCCTGAAATTTCCAAAATCATAAAGGCAGGAAATATGGATGGGGAATGCGCATGCTGTCACGCACTCACAGAATAAAATCCCAAGTAAGTACAGAGCTTCAGCCAGAGAGGAGTCATCAAGAAGTTGGTTCAAAGTATCAGAGAATCATTCAGTGCTGTGGGTGAAGATTGCTTAACCTGCTATGGGTCAGACTGTAAAGTATTAAAGTTCCATATAAAGAAAAATCAGGCAAGAGTGGTTAAAAAAAATTGGAAAAAGAAAATGATAGGCCTGTTTTGGAGGATATTAGAATGCGTTATAAAATGTAATTTTTATAAAGCAATAATAATTGAAACAGGAGAGTACTAATAGGTAAATAAATGGAGCAGATGCTAATGTATAAAAAGTATGTCAATTAAATAAATTACTATGTTATCAATTAAAATCATAAAGAAATATGGAAGGAAATAGATTAAAATTTGAGAAAATAGATTAGTTAGAAAAATAACAATTACATTCCTCATCACGTCATATATTAAAAATATATCCCAGGCCATTAAAGAGCTAAAAGTACAGTATCAAATCATTAAAAGATAGACCAAATAGCTAAATATGTATCAGAAATTACAATAACAAAAGGAAAACATTAAATTATCAGAGCACACCTTATTTCTAGTTTTAAACACCTATCATAAAAAATAAAGGAACATGAAAAACAAGAGAATATTAGTAATAAATTGGGTAGGCAAAGAGTTAATGTTCACCAAATGAATAAAACATTTACTGGTCAATAAGGAAATAGAATCCTTTACCGAACACTTATTCAATCAGGAAAAACAATTTTAAGCTCCTACTGTGAGACCTGATCTCTGTAAGGCATTTCGCATTGACTCTATAGTGGATGAGAGACAGATAATATGTAAATGTAACTAACTGGTTGACTAAACACTTCCTCTAACTAGAAGTCATGAAAATTATGCAAATGAAATAATAGGATCAAGCAAAACTAGGAGAGGGAGAAGAAACTAGGAAATATTAATTTAGTAATTATGATTTGTAGGAGTTGGGAGATAGGAGTATTTGCACTATACAAGCATTCTCCAACTGGGACTTCAGAAAAAAAATGAGATGTATTTGAAAACTATTGATCACTATATAGATAAATATATAAAATGCTTTTTTTTTTTTTAAATTTTTGAGACAGAGTCCTGTTTCGTCGTCTGGCACCAGGCTGGAGTGTAGTGGTGCGAT